CTACTCCATATTGTTTCAATGTGGATAGTGACCCAAAGAGTTATAGCGAGGCTATATCTTCCCAAGATAGTGCATTTTGGAAAGAAGCTATAAATGATGAGATGGATTCCATCATGGGAAATAATACTTGGGTCATAGAGGATTTACCTCCTGGTTGCAAACCTCTTGGTTGCAAGTGGATTTTCACTAGGAAAAGGAGACCAGATGGCTCCATAGTGAAATTTAAAGCCAGATTGGTTATCCAAGGCTTTAGGCAAAAGCATGGTGTTTATTATTTCGATACCTATGCACCGGTTGCAAGAATTACCTCCATAAGGTTATTGATTGCAATGGCTTCGGTATATAATCTAGTGATTCATCAAATGGATGTCAAAACGGCATTCCTTTATGGAGATCTAGAGGAAGAAGTGTATATGAAACAACCCGAAGGGTTTGTTTTGGAAGGACAAGAAGATAAGGTGTGTAAATTGGTTAAGTCATTTGTATGGACTTAAACAAGCACCAAAGCAGTGGCATCGAAAATTTGATGACACGATTATGTCCTTTGGATTCAAAGTGAATCAAGCTGATAAGTGTATTTATAGCAAATTTGATGACAAAGGTCATGGTGTCATCATTTGTCTATATGTTGATGATACGCTTATCTTTGGTACAAGTCTACAACAAGTAGAATTGACCAAGGAATTCTTATCCTCATCTTTTCAGATGAAGGATTTGGGGGAGGCGGATGTCATTTTGGGCATCAAGATTATAAGGGACAATGGAAGACTTATCCTAAGTCAATCTCATTATATTGAGAAGATATCAAACGGTTTAATATGTTTGATAAGTGTCCCGTGAACACCCCCATGGAACCTAATGTTAAATTGGTTAAGAATTCCGGGAAAACGGTTTCCCAATTGGAATATTCAAGGATAATTGGATCCTTGATGTATGCCATGACTAGTATAAGACCGGATATTGCATTGGTTGTGGGGAAACTAAGTAGATTTACTAGTAACCTGGGTGCACAGCATTGGTTTGCAATTCGGAGGGTCTTGAGGTACCTTAAGGGTACGTTAGACTATGGTCTAACTTATAGTGGATTTCCTTCAGTTTTAGAAGGATATTCTGATGCAAGTTGGATCACTTACAAAGAGGATGACTCTTCTGTAAGTGGTTGGGTATTCATGTTTGGGGGAGGTGCCATTTCATGGTATTCCAAGAAACAAACTTGTATTGCGGATTCCACTATGGCAGCGGAGTTTATAGCTCTTGCTTTAGCTAGTAAAGAGGCTGAGTGGTTGAGAAATCTCATGATAGAGTTGCCTTTATTGTCAAAGCCAATGCCACCGGTGGCAATCCATTGTGATTCCAATTTGGCGTTGATAAAGGCTTATAGTCAAGTGTACAATGGTAAGTCTCGGCATATTTCACTAAGGCATAGCCTAGTGAAAGAGCTTATCAATGATGGGGTCATAATTCTTGACTATGTTTCAACAAAATTAAATTTGGCGGATTGTTTTACTAAAGCAATGCTAAAGCATTCCATCATATCTGCCATGATTGGAATGGGTTTATGTCCAAAAACACGAATTTGTGAAACCCAATCTAACGCTTGAAGAAACATCAAGTCTTAGATTCAATGTGGTTAAATTGCATTTTCATTGTTTGATAGCAATGTATGATGACCCATATTGCTATGTTACTTGTGATGTGTTAGGTAGCGTCTATTTAAAGTTCTCAAAGATTTAGAGTTGAGAAGCTCTAAATGAAGGTGTCTTATCACAAGGGCACTATTACGTATATGAGAACCTACCTATATGAGTTCGAAGTTTAGCCACTTCAAAAAGTCTAGATGGACATATAGACTTTGATGAACTTATGAAAGATACGGACACATGGCTGTATAAAAGTGTCAAGTGATGATAAATTCGATTTGTCTTGTGTGTACTTCACCTTCGAATGGTTGGATATATCCGTGTGATTCAATCCGTATGGTAATCATGAGATATGATCATCGTTAAGTGTGTTGTACTAGGTGTTAATTCAATCCGAAGGGACACTGGCATTGATGCATGAGATGTGGTTTAATTGTTAGAAGTGGAGAATGTTTTAAAGGAACACTCTAAATGGGGGAGGATTGTTGAATATTTAGAGTGTTGATGGTTGCGCGATCGCGACCATGAAGGAGCGCCCGCGCAAGATTGGCGCGGCCGGGCAGAGAGCGCGCCTAAACCGCGTACCTCTCTGGAATTTGGCAATTTGGAAGGGTGAGGATGGCGCGCCCGCGCGGCAGGTCGGTGGCGCGCCCGCGCGTCCTGGTTGGCGCGCCCGCACTGCTGGTCGCGCATAAACCGCGCCCCTCACGACCTTTTTGTGAAATTATGCAGATATTGTGGGGAGCGCCCGCTCCACCTGGTGGCGCGCCCGCGCCTCCCTGTTTTAGCGGTTTTTTCTGACGGTTGAGTCTTTTATTAAAAGACATCAATTCGTGAAGAAAAGTATAGAGCATCATTCTTCTTCTCCCAAGCAGTATTCTCCGCACTTTTCTCTCAAATTTCTTGCAAACTTTTGTGAGGAAACTCTTTCAATTATTCCAATATTGGTGAATTTTTCATCTTGATTTCGATTCTAGTACTAAGAACGAAATTGCTGTCAATTGTATCTCAAAGAGGATTTCCGATTTAACCCAAGTACCGTGTGGGAGAAATAAACCTCTTTAGGAAAGTGTTCACACGCCTTTGACAATGTATCAAGGATCTAGTCTTACGAGACATTGGAATCTCATGTTCATGTTCGTTGTTCTTGGCTTGGAGGAAAGGCAAGTTTGATTAACTTCACACTAGTGTAGTCTTTGTAATTTTCTGTAATTTCTTAGACTTTGATAATCCTTGATTGAAATACATTGTGTTGTATTTGATATTTACATTTACATTGTAATCATATTATTTAGGTTTTGTTCCCACACAAATTTAAGTGTTTTTCTAGTTTGAAATCACTGTAAAACCTAACAATTTTTGGGGTGGAATTGGGAGGGTTTTTATTGGTGGTTGCGTGGGGGTTTCGGGGAGGGGGGATGGTGGTTTAAATGGTAGCGACCAGAGCGGCGACTAGGGTGGTGGTTGCGTGGGGGTTCGACGAGGGTGGTGGCTGGCTGGCGGCGACTAGGGTGGTGGTTGCGTAGGAGTCCGACAAGGCTGGGCTGGGTGGTTTTTTTTTTAAAATTTTGGTTTCTTTTTTGTTTTTTATTTTTTTTATTTTTGGACCAATCAGAACTTGACACGTGTCAAGTGAACTGATATAATAGGCCATTGACTTTTGTTGACCGGTTAGGAATTGAAGAAAAGAATGCCTCCCAAAGTTCGGATTATTTCAGTATAACTATAATCTAAATTTGGAATTATTCTACCAAAATTTATGAAAGTTGGGTTTATTATTTCTAATTTCTCCTTTATTAAATGATTGAAAAAGTCAAAACTATCCCTGTGATTGACAATAAGTTTATCTAATATCATCTTGTATTTTCCCTAATAAATTTTTTTTAAAAAAAAAAACAATATAACCGATTACTTTTTTTAAAAATAAAAAATAGGAGTAATCACTTGCATATTCAACAAAAAATTTATAAGTCTCAACATTTTGTTACACTCTTCCTTTCAGGATATATCTGATATCCCATATGCAATGATATTCTTGGTACTTCTTACAGAATGACATTCTTTCTTTATTTATTCTTTAATTTTCTAAGAAAATTAAGTCTAATTTTGCTATTTTTGATATTTGAAGATAGATTAATTTATTAAAATTTGATGAATTGGTATTATGGTGATGATAGTCGTTTAACTGTTTTGATGAATTGAATTGAATATATTTTTACCCCTATCAATTTGAAGTTAATATTAAAATTCAACAGTTTGATATTAGCTTCCAGTTAGTCAATTGTAATAAACGAACAATATTGATTCCTAATTTTTAAAGGCTGAGATAAACACACTAATACAATAGACCATAGTTACATGTTACATTTTTTATGTAGCCGTTGAAAAATTTTCCTATAATCAATAGAAGAGGAAAAAAATCATAATCATTTAAATTATTAAATTTGCTCTGAAAAGTGGAGTACCTTAAAAAAAATTTATCAATTTTAATTTTGTTTTTTATAAGTATTTTCCTTACATAAGTATTCTTAACATCCAATAATGATGCATTCCCTCATTTACATTCTCCAGTAATATGAGCTATGTAAAAATCCATTCAAAAACAAAAAAAAAGCTATGATAAAAAATATTCCTAGTTTTAGGTATATCACAAATTCTTATCACCGTGGTCCGTCAATATTGGGTTATTTTACTAATGTTATTGGGTGACCAGTGTTACAAGGGTTACTTGGTCAATATTATTATAGTATCCATAATGGCTAGCTACATGTGTTTGTAGCTAGCAATTGCCATATCATTATTTTCTTAGTTAAAATAAGGTACAACATCTAAGCTACAACCTTCACAATGGTTAGCTATTTATTTTTGTAATTGGGAATAATGATAATAAACCAAAAATAAAAAAATAAACATTTAACAAATACATATAAATATTAAACAAATCAATATAAGTGTATTGGGTGGAGCAAAACCTTGTAGCTCCAAGGTTTGGCCTTAGTTACAACTTTTGTAGCTCCACAATAGTGAGCATGTAGCTCTAACTATTTATAAATTGCAAACAAGTCCTTTTATACTACCATAATGGATGCCTTTGAGTTAATTAGTCAGTATTACAGGGCTATCCATACAATGGTATAGAGATTTCTTTGTTATACTCCCTCGGTATGATATTAATAAACTACATAATGAGACGAACCTAAAAGATCCCACATGACTCCATTATGAATATATTTTAAATTAGATGGCAATGGGGCAAAAATAAAAGGGCGGAAGGAGTAGCTGTTATAATCGTTGATTTTATATAAGAGTAGATCTGACGGTTGAAAATTGCGAGTCATTAATCGATTAATCGTCCAGTCATCGTCCTATGCTTTTAATTGTTTTGAAGCTGTTCACTTATACGCTGCACCTCTCTGTCTCTCCCTTCCTCCTCCATTGAAGCCTGCTCTGAGCACTCCATTGAAGCAGCTTCTGAGATTTCCTTCCTCCATTGAAGAAGCTCCTGAGGTAAGATGTTATTCTCTATTTTTTCAATCATTTAATATATCAATTTCACAATCTAGGGTTTTGTTTCACGCTATTGTTAGTTTTATTGTCAGTATAACCAATTTAGGGTTCTTCCAAGGTGGATTATTGAACTATTGAGCATAATAAGTCATGAAAAATTATAACGAGCGATTTTGTTGCTAAAATTTTATTATAGCTGATATTCTTAAGCGAGAAGAATATATGTGATTTTTCGAGCCTAATTTGACTATTAAGTCAAATTTGGTTGCTAAAGTGTTGCATTATTCGTGTTTGATCGAGTTCACGAGCTGAGCTCAGGGGCGGAGCTAGTGGGGGAAAAGAAAACTGAACTCTGAAAAGTGAAACCTAACTTTCCTCTTTCCTCTCTCTTCGAAGTTCGAAGTTCGAAAATCCTCTGCCAGTCCGCCGCTCTCGCTCGTCGGCTCCACTCCCGGCACTCCGTCCCTCCGTCCGTCGAGTCGCCGCCGTCGCTGCTTCGTGATTCACTGCTTCGCCCGTTCGTCGGCTCGTCGCTGGACTCGCTGCTCTCCATTCGACTTCGCTCACTTCGCTAAATCGCTAGACCCAATTCACGGTATGTAAATCTGAAATTCAATCTCTGAATTATTAGTTTATTACTTGTTTAATTGTTTTATAGTTTATACTTTTATTCAATTATTCTGAGTATTGAAGATTTGAAGTATTGAACTATTGAAATTTTGAAATGTGTTGGTTTATTGTCTTATTGAAATCTTTGAATATTGAAATCTGTTGATTAATTGGTTTATTACTTGTTTTGTCTTCTGTTTTTGTGAATTTATTGAAATAATGAAATGTATAGTTAATTTTGTGAACTTTTGATTGTATTTTTTTCTCCTGTTTTTGTGAATTTATTGAAATGTATAGTTGAATTAGAAATTTAGAATTTTAGGTTTTATTATTATGTAATGATGTGGAATTGTGGATTGTGGAAATTGATATATATTTTTCAATTTAATTAGGAAATGTCAAAATATTCACCTAATTCAAACAAATCCAAGGCAACTAGTAAACAACCCGATTTTCGATAATTCTTGTTTAAAAGACCGAAACTCAATGAAAATGAGTCAAATTTTAATATTAGGTATTATAATATTAGGTATTAACTAATTTGTGTGTTTGAGTTTTTTTTTTTTTGTTTTTTTTTTTTTGTTAAGCTTTTTGTCAAGTTAAAGTTTTTTGTCCCCCCAAGTTGAAAATCCTAGCTCCGCCACTGGCTGAGCTGAGAAATGCTTAGGTATTGAGGCTCATTGAGCTCGAGCCGAGTCTACTCAAATCTGGGTTTGGCTCGAAGGTTTAGCACCCCCTAACCCCTCTTAAGAAGTTGATGATTAGCAAGTCCCCAATACCATTGATTCAATTTGATTGATTATACAGCCTAATTGCAAGCTTTTGTTTATCTAATGCTATTATGGATTAATGAAAGTGGGCTAACCTATATTTTCACCCCAAGTTTAATTAATGTTAGGCTTAGAATATATTTTTGACACTGTGAAGTTGTGTGATTGGTTGAGGTAGATAGAAGGAGAAAATGAAGCCAGTGGTGGGGGTGGTGGTCTCAAACAAGATGCAGAAATCGGTGGTGGTGGCAGTTGACCGTCTTTTCCATCATAAGCTCTTCAATCGGTATGTTAAAAGAACTAGCAAATTCATGGCCCACGATGAGCAAAACGAGTGCAACATTGGTGACCGGGTAATTCGCTTATCTCATACAAGTGTTGTCTTACAGCATTGTTTGTTCTCTTAAACTTGTGCTTATTTATTAGTTATGCTTTGTTTAAGGTGCATTTAGGATTAAGAGATTAAGACTAGAAGGGTTTTTTCCTGTTGCTTTTTTGGGTCCTCTTTTGTTATGTGGAATGTAATACTGTCATTCCTCTGTTTGAGGTGTCCTACTGAAATCTTTTGTCTCAAACTAAGTTTGTGTGATGAGAATGGTGTATAGTCTACCTTCATAGTGGCATTCTTAGATCTTAGTAGTTTTGTCAAACAAAAGGCAGAAATTGTTAAGGTTAGATGGATCCTGGCTCCTCCCAAACTTTCAGTACTCATAAGCTATATAATTCTGCAATTTTAGTCCCTACTAAATGTGGGTGTAAGAAGCATTGGCATTGTCACCAATATCAACTTCGTTATGACCTTAGAGTTTGAATTATGACTTCACCAAGATCACCACTTCAGCTGTAGCAAAAAATTGTGTATAAGATTGCATAGTTCAATTTATTTAACCTGGTGAAGTGCATAAGATTGCATAGGACCCCTGGTGAAGTGCTGGAGAAAGTTGTTGAAGTTAGTCAATCAATTAATCAAAGCCTTAATACCATAAATGGGGTCGGCTACATGAACAAAAAGAGATTTTTTCGTGTAGTTATTGACAAAAACCTTCCTCCTCCATCCCTTACGATCCAATGCCTTATCTCATGCAAATCCATATACTTCATATCCTTCCTAACTTTTTCCAACCAAGTCATTTTCGGTCTCCCTCTTCCTTATTTAACCCCTCCATGGTCCCACTCTTCCACTCTTCATACCGGTGCACTCTGATCTCCGTCTTACATGTCCAAACCAACGCTTGCAATTTTCCCTTAGTTTGTCTGCAATGCCTGCCACCCCTACTTTCTTGCGAATAACCTCATTTCTGATTCTGTCTCTTAGAGTGTTCCCGCACATTCACCTTAACATGCGCATTTCCGTAACCTCCATCTTTTTAATGTGCTCCTTCTTAGAAGCTCAACACTGGTCACATAACACTTCAACTGTAAGGGAATGCTTCGGTCACATAACACTCCCGTGGCCACTCTCCACTTAAGCTACCCCGACTTAATCCTGCGGGCCACGTCTTGATCAATGTCACCATTTTAATGCATGCTTACAACCAGACATAATATTAATTTATTGTTATCAGTAAACTGTAAACTGTGCTGCTGTATATTATTAGTTCTTCAATCCAAGATCTTCGGCTTTGCACGGAGATTATCCACTTCAATTTATTTATGGGCCTTTGCTGAACTTGACTAGGTTGAAAATTTTGTGGCTTTAACATGGATTATTTAAACTTACTTGTGGATCCTGCTTGTTATGCAGTGAAAACACTCTTTGGGCTTTTTTCCCTATAACTCCTGCAGCCTTGTATGGGCCTTGCATTGTGTAAGGGTCAATATGTTGTTCAGATTGAATTTTGCATTAATTGGGTTTCAAACATGTCTTATTGAACATAATCTACCTTCGTCGTGATTGTGCTTTATATTAATTGGGGTTCAAGCATATTTCTTATTGATCATAATCTATCTTAGTCGTGAATAGTCAGCTTATCTTCCAAATGAGTATTGGTAACTCAATAAGTAGATCTATAAACCATGGAAGTTTTTCTCTTGGACATTATCTTCTTTTTATCTGTTAGTATGAAATTCTGATGATTCATGAGTACCTATGCAAGGTTATATTTGTAACTGCCTTTGTGTGTGTTAAACAACAAGCTGGACATTTGAAATTTCCTGGTGAAACTATTGTGATTTGTGAATTGGAATTAGGATGTTGATAGTTTTGTAATAAAAAACACTTTTCATATATAATTTGCTGAAATAATGAATAGAGTTTGCAAAGCAGTCTTTCTGCGTATCTTGATTGGCCTCTAATATTAGGCTCAGCTAGACCTCCCAAGAGTCACTGTCAACAGCAGAATCATTACAGGGTGTTGTTTTTAGCTGGGTCTGGAAATGCTTGGAATGGCCGTTTCTCTATTTCCTTTATGACTGGCAAGATGAAATCCTTTGTTCTACTATGATTATGCTTTTTTATGTACTTATGTTTTCTTTTGATGTACCTTGTTTCTAGGAGAGGTGAGTGAGTGAGTGTAGGGAAAAGGTGAAATATTAGAGAGGAAGGTGAGATGGTGGGTGTAAGAAAAAGGTGGAAAAGGTTAGAGAGAAGATGTAGAACGGTGTAAATAATGTAGAATTGGGGTAAGATGGTAAAATTTATTTGCCAATAAGAAGAATATATTTTAAAGTGGGTACATCGAGTTAAAACACCTCAAAATAGAAAGTGGGTGCATTAATATAATTCAGGGGGAGTATGCTACGAGTATATCCTCCGCCAACTTTTTCTTTTTTCTCCTATTGAAGCTTCTTATTTCATCTTAAAATGAAATCTTTTTAAGGCATTGTATGGTACTTATGATCTATTGTCATAATATCTGACACTTACTATGATTAGCATAATTGTATTTTCATGTTAATAGCATGCCTTTGAAATTATAGATGCTCTATTGTAATTCCCCGTTCTCATCTAAAATTGCCTTTTCTTTCCCCTTTTACCATACTGCATTGGTTGGGGTACTGTGCAATGATACTGTATTTGAAATTGTCTTGACCTGTAGGTTCGACTGGATCCCTCAAGGCCGCTCAGTAAGCGAAAAAATTGGACTGTAGCTGAGATTCTGAAGAAAGCACGGATATATACACCACCACCATCAGCAGGCAAATTTCCTCAATCAAACAGCAATACTGAAGCTTTCTCAATTCCTTCTGCATAATCTTTTCAACCTTGTTTGTTTGGATCAGTGGTCTTGAGAGCATTTCTAGGCAATAGGGCTGTACTTGGAAGTCACAAAGAAGCAGATTGTGCTCTCTATATTTTTATTCCTTAGAGAAGTGCCTTTAATTCTTTCAGCAGCAGCTAGGTTTTTCAGTCTTTGATCCAATTTTAGTAGTTCAACCTTGCGTACATCGTATTAGTAGGACCTATATCTTTTGTGCTTTTAATGAATTTGTTTTGAGCTCACAAGTGCGATTTTCCGATTCTCTCTAGATATGAACAGAGCAACAAGTATGTTGTATCAGAATAAATAATTAAGTTATCCTTAATTAGATAAGGATTTGATTGTTTGTTTAGCTGGTAAGACAGAGCCAACTGCATATCAATCCAAAACACTGTGCGACCTGAATCACATTAAGGTATCAAAGTCTAATCATGCAATAAATCCAAATCCAGCAGGTACCAATTCAAGTACAGAGATTTTATTATGAGCAAGCACTTAGCACTGCGAATACTTTCTTGTGATACGTAGAGATTTGAAAATAAAAGGATGATATATTGCATATAAAAGGGCTGTGTGAACGTAAAAAATACTGTAAAAAAACAATCTCTTGGTATAATTTACATCTTTGCTCTAACAGCTAGCCTTGCTCTCAGCTCCTGAGCCACAGCGTCAATGAATTCCTCAGTGTTCAAATATTGAGATCTCTTGACTCTGTAGTGAATTTCACAAATAAGAGGTCAGGACAGCATAAAGAATTAAAGGGCATGGCATATTTAAGTTCAGAAAATTTAGCAATTTAGCAGTTAACCTCAAACACACACACACACACACACACATTATATAAAACCATAGTTAAGCGAGCATCGTCTCATAAAAAATCAGTACTTGACTGCAAATGATTGAAAGATAACTTGGATAGACTTGGGAGTAGAGAATGGTTCCGTGTAATTTCTGCAGTTATTGTAATTCTGACGAGTTTAACTAATTGTGCAACTGTTTGGCACCCAACATGGGGTGAAATATCACTCGAGTTTAACTACTGCTCTTTCATTCCAGGAATACATGACATATTGCCCTCTATTAGTTACCTAACTAGTTAGGCTAACAGACTTTGACATTTCCGATTGAAATCCCCGCCCCAAATTATAGGTGATTGTCTACTAAATTATCTTAGGTAATGAAACTTACTTGGGCCCATGAATAAGGAGTGCCAGATCTTTAGTCATCTTCCCTGATTCAACAGTTCCAATACATGCTGCTTCAAGCTTACTTGAGAAGTCCGAGAGCAGGACATTGTCATCTAACTTGGCCCTGGTAATGTCTCCATTAATTTAGGAGTCATTAAAATTTGGAAACATAATTATTAAAACTTTTTGATACCTGTGTGCAAGCCCACGTGTCCATGCAAAGATGGATGCTATACTATTTGTGCTGGTTTCACCTCCTTTCTGATGAACACGAAAATGGCGAGTAACTGTTCCATGGGCTGCTTCAGCTTCAATAGTCCGTCCATCTGGACATACCTGGAGCAGAAGATTAAATTTTCAACAAATATAATGATGGACACAGATGCAAAATTGAGGACAAATATCCATATATAAATGAGCACAAGTATCGACAATGGCACAAACCAAAACAGAGGTCATCAACCCAAGTGATCCAAATCCTGCATTAGTTTCAAAAAAAAAATGTAAGAGAAAGTTAGAAAAATTGGTTCATGGGCTTCACACAAGCAGCTTAAGTTTACAACAGAGCTGATTTCAAACCTTGAGCCAAAAAATCACTTTGGACATCTCCATCATAATTCTTGCATGCCCAAACATAGCCCCCTTCACTCTTCATAGCATAAGCAACCATGTCATCTATAAGACGATGTTCATACCTACATGTTACAGGATATTAGCTACATCACCAGTCAAAAAATTAGTTTAATGTATGATGCAGACTGAGAAAGAGAAGTTGGATCTCACCATATTCCCGCAGTTTCAAATTTTGACTTCCAATTTGCTTCATAAACTTCCTGGAATATATCCTTGAATCTTTAATGAAGAAAAAATCAACAGACTAAGTAAATGAGATTGTAACTTGCATTTAAAAGACTTAGGGGGAAAAGAAACAGATATTGAATAATCACCTCCCGTCATATTTCTTCAGAATAGTGTTTTTTGTGCTAAGATAAAGTGGCCAGTTCTTTTGAAAAGCAGTATTCATTGAAGCCTCAGCAAAAGCTCGTATAGACTGTCAAACAGATAATTTACATAAAAATATTATATGGCAATTCAGCTAGGATAAAGTGGTAGTAACGCAATACCTCATCAGTATTATACATCGACATTGCAACTCCTCCTGGATGTTTAAAACGATAAACTTCTAATTCTGTCTTGTCACCTTCCCCATCTGGAACTGCACATAGTATCACACTATACTCACTTGAAGATTTTCAAGTAATGGAAAAGCAAGCATATACTAAATAAATTTCAAAATAAATTTCAAAAAAAAAAGTAAAAAATCTGACAGAGAAATGGAAGAAGGCTAAATAATGTACTGGACAAAATTGTCAACTCAATTAACAGATTACATTCTTTAAACTTCTGCCGAGATGTGAAAAACAGTAAACTCTCAGCCAAGGTAGGAATTTACCAAATACCATTTTAAGAGTTCCTGCTCCTCGAATGATCTGTTCGGATGCACGGTACTGATCCCCAAAAGCATGTCTCCCAATGCATATTGGTTTTGTCCAGCCTAATACAATTGGTTTTAGCATGTGAATATAAAGATAATTAGATATAAGTTAGCACAAAAGGACTTTTGATTACCTGGAACAAGCCTTGGAACGTTTTTGCATATTATTGGTTCCCTGAAAACCGTACCTGAAAGGACGATACAACATATCACTGAGAATGATCCTAAAGCACGATTATTCCAGTTGCAAAATAAGACAATGTCATCAGAAGTGAAGGGAAAGTTCAGCATGATGTCAAGAAGTTCCTGCTTCTAGTGGATCTTATTAACAATAAATGTGTTTGCAAAGAAGAGGACTTCAGGGAGAATAAATTTCTTATTACTATCCTTTTCAAGAAGGTAATGGAAGAAGCAGAAGAGAAATTAAATGAAACCTCCTTCTCACTGGATAGAGAATTTGAACTCAGGAACCCAAAAGGCAGACGTAGTTCAATTTTTCCTCAAAAAACAAATTCATACACCTCATGAATCTTCACTGACCCCACAAAGTGATTTGGACGTGGGGAGCAGACACTGCTTTCAACTGCTCTAAGGAAGACAGCAGACATATGGCTAGATATAGAAATAAAAAATGATGAAACATACAGTGTACTAAGAATCATCACTATAGGAGCCACAAAAGTTAGACCTTGAAACAAGCAAATATGACCCTAGATAGAAGACTTAACAAAAAAAAAAATCATGCGTATGAAAATATAGTCAGTAACTACATGATTGCACATTGGGAAATGAAGAAAAGATTATCACCGTTAAGGATGTTTCTGATAGTTCCATTAGGACTCTTCCACATCTGCTTCAAGTTGAATTCCTTAACACGTCCTTCATCTGTTGGACAACAAAGATACTTCAATACTAACACAATAGTATATATGTTGAACATGGAGTTACATGGGCAAACTCTAAAAAACACTATACATTAAAGATGATGGAAAATTCAAATACTATGTATAAACAGTTCAATAGTTTTTTAGATAAGGAAATATTTTAATGAGACAATAAAAGAAACAAGAAGTCCTCCCTCCACTCTCTCTCTCTCTCTCTCAAACTAATAAAAGAAACGAGGGAAGAATAATAGCAAAAGAATTTATTCCAGCCTCACTTCACACCATCAAAACATCACAAATCTAAATATCATCATTTCTCTATGGCCACAAAATGGACATGATGACGAGGCAAGCCACAAACCAATCACAAAGGAACATCGACCAACCCTTAGTTCCTCCCAAATCTAACTTAATTTTACCTTGGGATGGTTAGATAATTTCAAATTCACCAATCACCATTGATTATTTTCAATGATATCTAATAGATTGCCTCGTCACCCAAAATCATGTTACTCAATCCTAAAATAAATCCACTTTAGCACTAAACCCACTCCAAAAGTATCATACTCAATAGTGCTGCACTCTGACTAAGCCTCCAGGCCCCATGCATCACTAAATTCTGAGGCTGACCACCATCTTCCCTGCTATATTGCCTTTGAAAACAAACCCAATTAACTCATTCCTAGATCAATTGAGCATCCCATAACTATTGGAAGTTAAGAGGTTTTTGGAAACTATACAAAGACAACGAGAGAGTAGTTTCAAACTAAATTCAATAGTCTCTTTTTATGGTGAAATAAAATGTGGATCAAAAACATTAGCACTACTAAAGTACTTATAAATAAAAGGCTCTGTCCCCAGAGGAGAAAAAAAGAATAGATACCTGGTGTTATAGTTGCACATTTGATTGCAACGTTGTACCTGAAACAGAGAAATCAATACACCATTGTGCTAAAATCACAGACAACAGAAACAAATTTGTCATAGTACAGGCATTTTAACAGTAACTGAAAGCTAACAGCATAGTAGGAACTTGAAAGTACATAGATAGTTTGGCATATCAGCTTATAGCAATACAATTGTGCACAAAAACAGATCTGAATAGAAGATCCAGTGAATAAGTCATATTGTCTACTTGATGCTGCCGAATATATTTATGACTAGAGTTAGGAGACAATTTTCGGTTGATTGACTCATCAAAGAGACTGTAATTGTAGCTTCCTCTAAACTTTACTGGTCTGCCAATTCAAATGTTTTTAGTGCCAGCAAAAAAAAAAAAATATGAAGCTTCGTATCATATCAGAGCAAATGAATAAAGAGTCTATTCCTTGAAGTATACTCATGGTACTATATGATATGTATGGGAAATAAATTCATAAGATACAGTATAGAGAAATACTTGAGTGTAGCTTCTGCACTTTCGACTGTGACTTTATCATTGGTGGCCTCACGATTTGGGAGACCAAGATCAAAGTACTTTATATCAAGCTCCAGAAAAGGATATATAAGCTGCTCAATATTGAAAAGAAATTGTAATTAGACGTCTTACAAAATTATACTTCGTATGAAGAAAGTGATGAACTATTCAACCAGAGTGAAAATATATTCCCGACCTTCTCTTTTATAGAATTCCAAATAATCCTAGTCATTTCATCTCCTGACATGTTAAAAAAGTAAGAGTAAGATCTATGGAGACGACTTCAAAAGGAATGAACATCCTGTAAGCAATTTAAGGCCACTTGACAATGTCGGCATCAGTTTAAGATCTAACTCAGTATGTTGTGTAGAACACGCTCTAAGGCCTCTATGGCATATTGCAATGTTAAGGAATCCCAGATTACCAGAAAGAAACCCATGTGAAACTGACTAACTATTAGCAGATCATTCAGCTTCAAGGAAAAGCAGCGCCTTTCAATGTTGGAAAATCCCATAAACATTCTTCACTTACTCATAAACATACACTCCATACTTGTTTTAATAGAATGAGTTTATTATACTACACAATACAATCATACAACACCAAACATACATATTAATACCAAAATGAACAAAAAGGCTGCAGAGTTAATAATGGCCTAGATTAGAACACATTAGGCAAATCAATACATAATTAAATCTTCCAATTCTCGCTAATCGAGCCAATAGGCCCAATACAATGTAAAAATTCCGACCTTATATTATAATGGATTGAATCAAAAAATAATCTATATTGTTATGAAGTAGTATGCCAACGAGGGTTCGTGCTTCAAAGTTCAATCTATGAAACAGCAGAAACAATCTCTCTCCAACAATAGACCATTTTATTAATTCCTGCAATTCATTCCCAAATTCCCACAATGTAATATTATAAGCTCTCTCCAACATTAAATTGAGCTTGATTATTTTGTTTAATTTGGTTTCAATAACGCATTTCATATGTCAATTTCTAAGCTCATATCATCAAAGTAATCATCTTTATCAAAATTTTATAGAAAGAAGGGATGAAACAACAAGAATTATATATGATTTCACCAAACTTGAAATCTTGCAGCTTGGATTGATAAGAAAGGAAGAACAAGATAGAATTATGAAGAATTTACCGTCCATCTCAACGATTGGATTGGTGACTTTGATCTTGTGGGAAGCCATTGCTTTTCTCTTTCGTTCGTTCGCTCTCTTTCTCTTTTTCTTTCTTTGTCTGACTGAAATTAATCAGTTGAGAGTCAACAGTCAACCAACTCATAAATTAATTGCATAATAAATCTAAACCCCATTTGGGTGGGAAACACAGCCATTTTTGCCCATTCTAGAAATTATAATGTGTCATTGGGTTGGCACAACCGCATAATTTTTCGATTTAATTTTTATTATTGATTTGACTTTTTTTTTTTAGTAAGACTTGTTTTGTTTATATTTATTTTTTATTTAAAACGCATAATTATATCATCTATTTGTCTGAAATTACCTTATTTGAACGTGATATTAGCCAAAAGATTTTCTCAAAAAATATATTCGCTTTAAAATAATTTGTTTAAATTTTTTTTTTAAGGTAATATGAAGGACCCTATTAAATCGGCAGGTCAACGCTTGAGAGTAGAGAGGGAGGTAAGGAAAATCACCCTACTCCCCAAGCATTTTGTAGTTAGGCCTGTTCACTGATTTTTATTTACTGAATCGCAATTATTTTTACTGAATATTATTTTTTTAAGGTGAAGTGAACAGGGCCTTAGTGAGCCTCAAACTCCTAAGTTCAAAGTCACAAGGTGAGTTTCCCACAAACTTCACCAAGCTGGTGTCTAAAAATATTATTGATAGTTTTTATTGAATTATTTTTATGGAATAAAATCTTTTACTAATGTAATTTTGCTAGTTTTATTGCCTTAACATGCATTTAGACTTTTTTTTTTTTTTTTTTTTTTTTTTTAACTTTTGTATCTTGTAGTAAAAAAAAATTTCTTTAAACTTTTAAAGTAGTCATTATTTGATTATTTCCAATATATTTTGACCTTTTTTTTTCGAATGAACAAAATTCATATTAAAAAAAAAAAGGATTTTAGGGTGGCAAAATAAAAGAAAATTAGAACATGGAGCTAAGGTGTAATATATGAAGTATATTATATCCTAACCTTACCCCTTATTAATCACAAAGATTTATATGTGGTTGGTCACATCGTGTGGCCAGGGTTATTATTCAGGAGTTACTAATTCACTTAAGGGTTACTCGATCGATCAAGGATTACTTGGTCAGGGGTTACTCAATCGATCAGGGACTACTCGGTCGTTCAGGAGTTACCCGGTCAGTGTTTTGGTGTGTGTCAGTCGACGACACGATGTGGCCAGCCTCACGGGAAATACGTTGCTTATTAATAGTGACCTAGGAGATATATAAATTTTAGACAACATGTTTTATAGTTTGTTTTCAGAACAAAGTTGGTATTTAATATATGTCCGATAATTTATTACGCAGTAATGTATCAATGTGATCCTTGATTTTTTATCAATGTGATAAGCCGATACTTTTCAAATGGTGATAGGTCATAGTTCGATTAGATAGAATGTTGATTTGCAAAATCTTTGTCTTTGTATATATAGAATAAAAAGTCAGCAACTGCCCAGGAGTTTTAAATTAAATACTGCAAATTGGGTTTTTTGTCAACACACCATCACAAACAAAGGAAGTTTTAAAAAAGTAGAAAAACTAGAAAGAGAGAAAAAAGAACCGGCCAAATTGAACCCCCACGCCCAAGGTTCCTTTAAGATGACGTGATAATGTAAAAGTATGATTCTAAATTTCCAAAAATCTTGACTTTCTCACAATTTTTTTAATGAATAAAATAAAATCTAATGTATAGTTTTCCATGAATTTACAAATATACTTTCTTTATTCTCCATTAGAATATGTTTGAGCTTGACCAATCCTGTTGATCACCATTTTCGGCCTATCAAATTACTTTACTCCCAAGCAAATTTACTCTGTCAAACATACTCTGCAAGCCTGCATTTCTCCCATTATTTTTTTAACAATTTTAAACGCGTTTAATTTTATCATCAAATCCTGAACTATTTAAAACTTCATTATTCTATCTTTTATAAAATTTAAACCCCTTTTAATTTGTATCCAATTTAAACCCCTTTAAATTCTGATTTTTCCAAATTTTCTAAGTACCCAAATTTTCAAATACCCAATTTTACAAAAATCCTCGAATTCCCAAATTTTGAGATACCCAAATTTGTAAAGATGAAATCTTTGATGATATTTCTTGTGTTTTCTCTGCTTTTTTCTCTGTCTCTTTGTTTCCAAGAATCATCTAACAATCATCAACTCCCAAGAAACATGATTCTGGAATACCCAGATAATGGAGGAAAAACAGACCAAGAAGAAGTGAATTTACAGTGTACAAGTTGGAGGTTTGCAGTGGAGGCTAATAACTTGAATTCATGGAAAACAATCCCACAAGAATGTGCTGATTATGTCAAAAATTATATGATGGGTAAGGGTTATTTATTGGATCTTGAAAGGGTTTCTAATGAAGCTGCTGTTTTTGCTAGAAGTGTGAATGTTGAAGATGATAGCAAAGATGCTTGGATTTTTGATATTGATGAAACTTTGCTCTCTAATCTTCCCTATTATTCTGATCATGGCTATGGGTGAGTCCTTTTTATGTTTATTATTTTGATAGTAATATTGTTTATGGATATTAATGTTTCATTGAGTCATTGAGTTTAGCTTCATTGTTAGGAGTCATTGTCCTAATTGATGTGCCTTATGGTGAATTGTTGAATGGTCTCGAAATCGTGTGTTATGATGAATTGTTTCGAATTTTGATTTGTATTATAATGCTGTATTTGATGATGAGATTGATGGATATATGATATGTGCAATGGTTTGTGGAAAATTGTAGTTTGGAGGTGTTTGATGGTGTGGAGTTTGATAAGTGGGTTGGCAAAGGAATGGCTCCAGCTATTGAACCCAGCTTAAGGCTTTATGAGGAGGTTTTAAGTCTGGGATTCAAGGTTTTCCTGCTGACTGGACGTAGCGATAAGATGAGGGATGTTACTGCTCAGAATCTGATGAATGTTGGTTTTAAGAACTGGGACAAGCTTATATTGAGGTAATATTCATTCTCATACTACTTTATGATTATTTTTAAAATGGGATGAAAATTTAGCTGTCATATGTTAATGCATGTACCTGTCTTAACTTGCTGCTATCTGTTTTTGGGTTAACTTCCAAGTTATTCAGGACAATAAAATATCGTCAAAACTTATTTAGTTGACTTCCTAATTGACTATGCTATAATCAATCTACAGATGAGATTGTGTAGGCTGATACTACCTTATCGGGTGTTTCTGATCCTTATAAGGGGTTGCTTTTATGTTGTTCTGAGGTTCATGTTTTTTACATTTAGCTGCTGTAGATCAATGTGCACAGTATGCTCTGAATTACCTTGTGGATAAGATGATGATATGTGAAACACAGGAATTTTACAAAGAAATTTATCAAGTGGATATTATGACTTGGGTGTTTCCTTTCACTTGTCAAAATGCTTGCTTGAGATTGAGCTTTCAAAACCCTAGATCTTACCTGATGTCCTCTTTATTCTGATGTCTAGAATGATTAATTTTGAGGTTCTTACATGATACTGAATACAACATTGATGGACTGAGGGAATCTGAGAACTTGCAAATTTCCAGCTCAAAATGAATCACATCTATCTGAGTCACCATTTCCGCTTCCTTCCTATGCTTGAATTGAATAGAATATATAACCCATTAGCCAACCATTATGATGTCTAACATGTGAAATACAATGCCGTATCACTGACTGATCCCCACGTTTCAAATAGCCTGAGTAATTATCATTGGTAGAGTGTATACTTGCCCTAGAAAAAGTTTATCTGGCCTAAGCCCCTAATTATCTGAATTCTGAAAGGCATTAGTAAGCATTGTATATCTACCCTAGAAAACTAAGTTCTGCTGCCCTAAACCCCTATATACTTGTATCAAGATAGAGTTTAGTTTGGTTTTGAGCGAGGCTCATATTTATAAGCCAAAATACTGGATTGGGGCACCCTAAACCTGAAATGATGTAAAAGTTAGGTGACCGTTGGAGTCAATTTCTTGCCTGCATCTTGGGATTCTTTGTTTCCTGCTAAATGCTGCTAGCTAAAATTAATATTCTGTTCAGTTGATTACTACGTATTTGGTATTACATTACATTTAGGGGCTAATATGTGTATATTGTCCAGACATTGTGGTGCAGTGATGCACTTGGTTAATATTTTTTAGAAAAACGGATGGCGTGCCTTATATTAGTAATTTGTCCATCAATACATATGGGGAGACCTCACAAGGATTATGGTTCTCCCAAACTTGTTCAAAACCAAAACACTATACGGGCTAGATGATTAGTAACAGTATTCCCATCCCGCTTTACATGGCACCAAGACATAGAATTAAAAGAACAACTAGAAATAAGCACATCTTCAAGCAGATTATTGAGGTCAGTGAGAAAAATAGAGCCTTTGCATAGTCTGCCAATCAATGCTTGGCTATCCGATTCCACCACTATGTCTCTGAATCCATATCTTTTCGAAAGCCTGATAGCCTCAGCAACTATAGGAGGCCAGAAAGCTCTTGAACGTCTGGATGCAGCAAATACGACCTCCCCCTGCCAGTTTCTAGCTACCACACTGAGTCCCACCCACCCACCCTTCATCTCGTAGAGACGCATCACAATTAAGCTTTATCACCCCTTCCGGAGGAGCAACCCATTTCTTCGGACTGCTGCTGCCCTTAGCTCTCACTACACCATATATTTTCTCCGTGCACTTGTTTAATATTCCATATCACTAGCTATCGTAATTAAGGATATGACTCACTTCATTAATCAAACATTTTAATGTAATATGATTAGAACCCTGTTTTGGAGGAAGTGGGGATTGAGGGCCGAGAAGTATCAAACCCAAATTATGTTGTACTTGATGAACAAAAAACTAAAAATTATTGAACTCCAATAGAGTCTAGGTTGGAGAGAAATTGTTCCACTTTACCTAATCAGCTAAGCAGGTTGGAAACACAAGCATATGTATGGTGGCATTAACATATGAAGTATCAATGCTGCTGGTTGATCATAAACCTGTCCTTATGTTTCTCTGTTTTGCTCAGCAAGTTTTCTTTTTCGTTATCTTCTGAACATCAAGCTCTTCAATAACACACAAAAGCCTTCACTTGCCTTGCAAAATGCTGAGATTTAAATCATCCCTTGCTTTTAAAAGTGCAGAAAATATGTTCTGATATTTTGGTTCATGCTTGTTTGAACACTTATTTCTTTGAATAACACCCCAGGGACACAGAAGACCATGGAAAATTAGCAACGATATTCAAATCAGAGAAGAGGAGTGAGATGATGAAGGAGGGATTCAGGATCCAAGGCAACTCCGGGGATCAGTGGAGTGATCTGTTGGGTTTTCCAATGTCCACTCGTTCGTTCAAGCTCCCTAATCCTATGTATTACATTCCCTAGTGAAAGACCAAATTATAATTATAAGTAAAAATTCAATATCAAAATACTAGTCTAAATATTGGAGTAAACAATTGTACATTGTATAGAAATTAATGAATTGAATAGTAAGGACCTCTTATATAACTAGAGGTGCATTATGTATGTTGTGTTAGCTGATTTGGTGAATTAACAGGTAATAACAAAACAATTGACTGGATCAGGTGTAGTTCTTCACCTTGATGAACTAATGGTCTCAGTGAGAAATTTTCTATTTTGCGATTTTTTATTTCTTGTGATGGGAAAGAGGGGGATAAAGATCTTATTGATCATTTTATAATGATGTTTTATCTTAGTGATAATTTCTTAGACGAGGTAACAATAGAGAGGAATGTTGTCCGTAGGTCATAAAGAGAGATGTCCGTTGAATGGTACGGAGTAATTATTTATATACGAGTTACGACTATATGAGTAGTATACTCTGTATAAATAAAATAAAAAATCAAAAAAAAAAAAAAAAAAAAAAAAGGTTGTTTTAGAAGGACAAAAGAAGCTTTTAATAATGAATGCTGACTGGCATTTTACTCCTACACATCCGGTCAAAATTAATTAAATGCTAGGACCATTTGGTCATTTACCAACTAAATTTTTTTAGTCAGAGGAAACAAAAACTATGAATTTTTATGGGTAGATTTTGTCAATAGTTGATCCAGATTCATGTTTTGTATCATATAAAATTTTGTTGAATCTAAGACAGACTGTAAGAATTACTACAGTTCTATATTTTTATGTACTGCTACTCTGCTAGGCTTTGTATTCATCACTAGAGACGAAAATCTGAAAACTAATTTACTTAAAAATAATGTAACCAACTAACCACCATTAAGTTGACAATATCTTTAATTATGTTTAGTTTCACAGAACAAAAAGTCAGGAATATACAACAACACTTCACTTACATCAGAGATTATATCGTCCTTTCAAATGAGATCGAGATCCTCTCTAATTATTGGACGGACCTATTACTAATGTTGAACACGAACTAAACAATTTGTCGTAGGGAGGAATGAGAGATTCAAATGATCAGCATAGATTTAAACTACTATAGAGTAACATTTTACAACATAATTCGAGTTTCCTATGCTTTCGTTGTACAAGAATTTACTTCATTGCTCGAATTTGGATAGTTCGAGTTGAGTATAAATATCTACATCCCACAAAAAATACAATGCAGGCTTTGCCTCCCCACCCCTTAAAAAAAGAATTGAGCAAAAATCATTCTGTTAAGCATCATCATTAGCAAGATCTTGTTGAGCTTTCCTTAGCCAAATTCTTGGGTAATCTCCAGACAAGAAGATCATTATGAGGGCCCCAATAAAATCCAGCATCCCATGTTTCCCTGATACTAGGCAATTAAATAAATCCTGGAAATTCCAGCAGCCTGAGCACAAATTCCAATGGATTTCTTTGCCATCTGACTCAAACCTTCAACTTTGTTAAGATTGTGGGCACACTAGATTCATCAAAAGTCAGAAACTTTCCCTACTGCAAGATCTTTGTTGTCCCTGTCCCGGCATGCGCCGATTTTTATGACAATGAAAAAATTGCCATAATATGATGTTAATCATTCATCAATCATAAGTGCCACATCCCTGTGTCAAGTTCTTTTGTGTTGTAAAGCTGGTTCCTTTCCAATTTCCTCAATTTTCCTTAGGACTTCATTTGCTGGTGGTCTAAGAGAAGGCGATGCAGAACAGCAAGACATTGCAAGCTGAACTAGCTTCAGGGCACGATCTTCTGTCCTGTGCCTTTGTTTTCCTGTTTGATTAGATACAATGTTGGGATGATACATGTCCTTGATCCGATGGTCCAAAATTGCAGTTCGGATGACATTAGGCAAGAAATATTCCTGTGAGTCTGATGAGTTTACACTAATAGGTTCTCTGCCAGTAAGCAATTCTAGCAAGAGTATTCCAAGACTGTATATATCAGTACTTTCATTAACATCCTTCATTTTCATCAGCTCAGGAGCCTTATAGCCCTGAGCTGCAGAAGTCTCGAGCATTTCTAGTCCTGCTGTTGGGTTCAAGACCAGATAAAGACTGTAATCTGATATATATGGCTGAAAATCTGGCCCCAATAATACGTTTTTGGACTTGAGATTGCCATGTATTAGGGGTTTGTGCAATCCTGTGTGAAGATAAGCCACTCCCTTTGCTAAACCGAGGGCAATGATATAAATCACATCCCATTTGTAGGACTCATTGTTGCTATCTGTTCATAAAAACACATACTTAAAATGCATGCTTTTGGAATATTGGAGTTAAAAGTTTTAGAACTTTGAACAACCCAAAAGTGACTAAATATTATGCATTGGGAATTAGGACAGGCAGCACGCCAGCATGTAAACTGCAAAGAAGGCAACTAATTATCTATAGTGAGGGCATAATATGAAGACGGGTCAGTTCAGCATGCGAATCAGTTTTTTGCTTCAAATATTAAACAAAATTTAGTTGAAGCTAAGAGATAAAAGGAATAGGAAGAAGTCCTAATTTTTGAGAATACTAAATGTCAACAGCAGAAAAGATGGGCTACAAAAGAGTTGTTAGCTTTGACCTAGTGTTTAATAAAGAATTACATCCCCACAACTAAGTTGAGCCGTCCTGGATGGATGGTTCTTTATTGCTTAAATTACTCCAAAAAATGAGGATCAGAAACTTCGACGCAAGGTTTAGGATCAAGTGGAAGGCCAGTACAGAAATGGTTGGACTTAAAAGAATAGGTCCGGTTGACCTACGAAGCCGGCTAACCTGCTGATCATAAATCACAGATTCATGGGCAGGAATCGTTCAATGGAATGAAAACTAGGTAATTAGTTCATCTAGGAAAAGAAAGAGAGAGAGAAGGCCAAAAACACCCAAAAGGACCCCAGATTCTAAAACTTGACAAGTCTGATTTTGACAGTAGCAGAGTTAGCTGGACTGAAAGACCATACTCAACAAAATATCAACATTAATGACATGAAGTGAATTAATGAAATGATTAGGACAAGTGACTAACAGCAAACCAGCAAGAAATATTTTTATCTTCGATTCACGGTGTAATTGTGTATAGATTAACAACAGAAGAAGAATCTTAAGCTTTTCAAAATAGATAACCTTACAGCCAACTCTTACATAAACCCAAGTTTAGAAGCAAAGTACTAAAACCAACATTGAAATAAGCATGGTTTATGACCAAGAAAAGAATAAAACAGCAAGGAATTCAAGCATTAGAAAGATTCACCAATAAAGTCCCTTTTTTACATCACTAAAGGAAAATTATTCCTCTGTATGGAAAAAATTAAAGGATAATGTGCCCGGATTTATTTCATAAAAAGAAAAACTATTTTGCCAATTTCTGAACAGACCATAATCTGCTGCATAAGGAAACCCAGTTAAAGAGATAAATCAGAATATTACAGGACGATGGGATCAAATTCCGTCTACATCATTACACTTTGTGGCTCTCAAAGCAACAAAAAACAAATTTTCAACAATTTGCCAATCAAACAAGATGGTTAAAACAATTAAATTTTTTAGAACAAAATTAACAAGCAAGAACCCTCTTCACCAGGGAAATCCAGCTCAATTAAACTCCCAACCATACAAGAAAATTAAAAGAACTCACTTCATTAAAACCAACAAACAACAAATTAAGACAAAACCCAGCTGAAATTGAAGTAGAAAAATGCAAAACTAAAGAAGAGAGAATCAAGAAAAATACCTTTAATAAATTGAGCAAGATTTCCATGAGCATAAAATGGATGAACCAAAAGCTTCTCACCTCTGGGGCCCATATAAAAAGCCTTAAGAGGGACCAAATTAGAATGCCTGACCAAACCAATTGCATGCACTACAGGAATTACTTCTCTAATGGTCCCACTACAAGCAGGTCTCAAAAATCTAAGCAACAAAACTGAATTACAATTATTATTTTTCCTAAATAAATCAGCTTTGTACAATGTACCATAGCTTGATTTTCCAATTACTTCACCAGGTGCATCTAAAATGTCAGAAACGGTCAGATCTTCGCCCCCTTCGAAGCACATCAACCCCTCATCATTACTAATACTGTTAATTATGTTTCCTAATTCTGGGTCATCACTAGATTCACCGCCTTCTTTCTGATTTTCTGGGTTTTTTCTCTTGAACAAGCAAATAAAGAGTATGAAGATGATGATGATAGTTAATGGGATTAGTAGAAATAAGAATTTGAGGATTTGGGTGTGTTTCATTTTTTTTTTGTAATTTTAGGAGAGAGAGAAAAAAGAAAAAAAAAAAAAGAGGTAAAGTGTTGAAGAATGAGTATGCAAATGCAAAATCACATTTTGTTAAAGAATGTGGAAGTGTGGGGTGAGTTTAAAGAGTAGGCCATAAAAGGTAGAAAAGGGTGTTATGATCTGGGAATTCTGTATTGATTATGATAGCCTTGAATTGATAGCGGAAGTAGGGACATTTTTTCTTGGAGCTCTTTCCCAAATTAAGGTCAAGAAGAACCGCAATTCCCAAATTGCAGCCAAAGTTTTAAGAATTTCCATTTTACCGTCCACGTAAGCACTGGTTAAAAAACCGGTTTTTTTTTTTTTCCGGTCCAGGGTAAACCGCTACTTCAAGTAGTGGTTTCTTTGCAATAAACCGCCACTTCAAGTAGCGGTTTTTTAGTTTAAAACCGCTACTTGAAGTAGCGGTTTGTTTACAAAAAACCGCTATTTAATGTAGCGGTTTATTTTGGAAAACCGCTACTTCAAGTAGCGGTTTACTTTAAAAACCGCTACTTGAAGTAGCGGTTTACCCTGGACTGGTTTTTTTTTCAAACTTGCATAATCACTCAAAAAAAAACCTGCAAGTTGTGTACCTGTAAAACATGAGATATATAGCATATTTTCAACACAACCACCATAAATAACAAGTTTATGAAGATCTAAGGAAGTCGAAATTGCAAAGTCGAATATTTTTCAATTGATTAAATATAACAAAATCCAATTCTAAGCATTTACAAAAAAATTAGTTTAGTTCCAAAATATACACTTAGCTCGGGCGTTGCTTCTTCCCATGAGGTGACGATGAAGATGATGCAGCTGTCTCCTCTGGAATGTCATCCAGGCCAACTCCAACCCCAGACGTAGTGTTGCTACGCCGTCGGTTTCTCTGATACTGGCGATGCACTAGTGGAGGAGATGTCATGATAGTATGCTGAGAAGGAGTCGGTGGACGGAAGGCACGTGCTGAATGGCCTCCACGATGAGGTGGTGGTCTGATCGGCATAGTGTGCACAGTAGAAGATGAAGACGTGGACGGTCGAGGCTGCTGAATAAGGTGTGACTGCCCCACCCTAGACAAGGTTTGGCCACAAAATGATGTAAAACCCTGCATCGTCTGTATGGCAAATGGTATAGCCGTCTCTGGTGGCAAGTGGGAGATGGTCTCAGTAGCTCCCGATAGCTGGACGTGCAAATCAGCAAATGCATGTGCCTACATTTAAGTGTAGTTTTAATGTTAGTAAAATGAAATCAAAAACGTAAGAACTAGATTGAAATGAAGTGAAGTTCATACAAGCAGGAGGTCCGAGGTAGCTGGCTGGTAATGACTCGGGGGGCGCTCCTGCGAAGGTGGAGTAATGACCAGTCTCGTGATGCGACGGTACCAAGCCATGTACTCTGTCATGGCCGGGGAAGAAGTCCCAGTGAACGGGTATCCCTGGACGACTAATGCCTCTCGTCGACTCCACTCGTGTACATGGTCCGAATGCCGAATCTCCCAATTACGCTGTCCCCTTCGATCCTTCCTGTGTAGAGCAACGTCCGTGTCTACATCCTGTGGGATCGGCTGGTCTAACCCGAACTGACGAAGGACTCGGTCTGGGAGGTGGAACTCAACGACGTCAAAGCATATCAGAGGTGCCCGTGAACGCCAAATGTGCATGTCTGAGCGACAAATCTCCGGAAGTCGATCCATCACCGCCTCAGTATATGGCTGCCAAATCATCTAATTCCCAAAACAAGTATGTCAACATGTATATGACTAACATAATGGAAGAAATACAATGCACAAAAAAAAAGAAACACCGATTGTACCTGGTCCTCGCGCTGATGGTCAAACGCATCTCTGTAGTATGGTAGTCCAGAAGCAGTATGCGCACACGATAGATGGACACGTAACCACCTGTAAAGACATGTTAATAATAATTCTTGAAAGATAGAATTGTAAGAACATGAACTTGAAGCAAACATTGTACCTGCACGCCAAAGGGTCAACACCTCGCTGATGCTGAGTCCCCAAAATGTCATCCTCATCCTCAGCCTCAGGGTCCTCCTGTGGCGGATCTCGAGGCCTCCTAATGTATGGTCGGCCAATAGTAATATGCTCCCACGACCACAACTGTAGTAGGATGAGCGGGCCTCCAATCTGTCTTGAATCTCGCTGACATCCTCGACATAGCTGCCGATACAAAAAACCAAGAGTCGCACTCCCCCAGCTGTAGGTCGAAGCTGTCGCCACTCTTGTCGGCGAACAGAATAGAGTGACACAGCATCGCCACTCTTGTCGGCGAACAGAATAGATCCCATGAGAGTGAGAATGTAAGCACGGCTATGGCGCTGAACTGTCAAGTCATCAGCTCCCTCTGGCATCTGTGAGAAGTGACGTCTGAGCCACGTCAACTTTAAAGTAGATCCCTCCAGAAACGGCTTACCGTTATCATCATGGCCAGGTCGAACTCCCAGCAACTCCTCAACTAGGTCATGCCATCCCTCAAATGGAGGTCCAATGACAGGAGGGCCGTGCACTCTCAGACCTAACAGGACGGAGACATCCTGTAAAGTAATGGTGGCCTCACCTACCACTAGGTGGAAAGTATGTGTCTCCTGCCTCCACCTCTCAACCAACGCCGTAAGAAGAGATCGATCAAGCAAAAACCCTCCTCCCAAAATCCTATGTACACCGTAAAACCCAGGATTTGATTCCTTGAGAGCTTGCATGTACTTAGGCAACTGTTCATATGAACCCTCCCAACCCCCATAAATGAGTTTTATTGCCTTTTGTTTCGCTAGCCATGCTCTCTTGTAGGTTATTTGGAATCCATCAAATTTCTCTTTCACAAGTTGCACCATTGTCTTGATTTTCAATGAAGGATCAACGCGAATGACATCTAGAAGAGCATTGCAAACGAACTCGGAAGTCAGTAGCTTATGATCTCCCGAGTCGATGTCACCAACACAGTTACTTGCATGAGGGCCGTTGTACCTCACAATTTTAAACGTAGAGAGTGTTGGATCTTTCACTCCTCTAAGCCTCCACGAACAACTACATTGTTCTTTCCTCTTGCACTCAACAACATATTTCTCTGGCTCTGCCTCCACAACTCGAATTGTTTGATTTCTAGCTATGGAGTAAGATTTCACAGCATCTTTCAGTTGTTGCAATGAGTCAAACTGCTGACCAACCTCAAATTCTCCCCCATTGTTATATGTCTCATTTCCTAACCAAGACATCCATGAGCTATTCAAACGAGGATCAACTTGCGCCACTTCATTGAAGTCTGAAGTGGGGGCGCTTCCTTTAATTGCCTTATCACGAGCTTCAATTATCTCTTCATCATCATCTTCATCAGTGTCATTCATCTCTGCATCGCCAAATACATCAACATTGTTTGGGTCAAGAGAATCAAGAATGCCTTGTGGTTGTGTGCTTGTCGAGGTTCCAACATTAGGCGATGAGGCCGGAGACCTAAACTGTGAGAGATGGTCATTGACATAATGTGGATCAACAAGCATTCTTGTGAATGACCCTATGCCCACACTTTGAACACCAGTGGAAAACGGTTGATCCACACTACCAAAAAAATCCATCCCCGGAAAGGAACCAGTGTTAGTTTGCACAACTGGCTCCTTTGGAACTTGTTCAATGAACAATTGCATTGCAACAGAAGAACTCTGAGTCACAGCAATCCACATAGCTCTAACAGCGTTGTCGTCATTTAACGGAATTGCAACATATGCCCCAGCCATAGGATAACGCATAACCACCTTCAACTCCACACCTCTAGGATCAACACTCAATTCTTCATATAGCTTGTTCAGAACTTGTGAATATGTCATCGCAGAATGTACAAACACAAATTTTTGATTCCCACCCCTATACGTTATATCGCTATCTTTGTGGACAATTTCTCCACCCCAATAGCAATATAGAGGGTAGTTCGGAACCTCCATGTTTCATTCTAGAAAAGACCATTATTAATCAAAGATATTAGATTGCAAAAATTCATTAACAGTGTGGCAATGTCCTAACATCAAGCAAGCAAACTACACAATTATAGCAACCTAAACTGAGCTATGAAGGTCTTAATACCTCTTGAAGCTCAACATGGGCATAAGTCATGACTACATGTACTTTGAGCTCATGTACTTTGTGTATAGAAGCTCTATTTTCACTTTCAAAATCAGCAATTATAGCAACCTAAACTGAGTAATGTGATCGAAACCATTAATAATTCTACAAGGGTTATATGTAAGGTAAGTAAATCAACAACAACAACCAAAACCAACCACAAACATACATACAAAACCGAAACTCAATAACAACAACAATAAACAAGAACACTAACAACAACAACACAACCAAAACCAAAACTCAATAACAACAACAATAAACAAGAACACTAACAACAACAACACAACCAAAACCGAAACTCAATAACAACAACAATAAACAAGAACACTAACAACAACAACACAACCAAAACCGAAACTCAATAACAACAACAATAAACAAGAACACTAACAACAACAACACAACCAAAACCAACAACAACAACACATACATACAATTCTGAAACTCAATAACAACAACAAACTCAATAACAACAACAAACCCAATAACTGAATACAAAAAATAATTAGGGCACTTACCACAAACAAGAAGATCAGCACGTTTCTTCTGAAATTAGCGAAGCCGACCACTAAAGTCGAACCCTCGGCGTCAACAGCGGCGGCCTTCGTTGCTGAGGAATGCTCCGGCGGCGTCGGTGGATTCCTTGGCTGCGCCGGCTTCCGTTGAAGGAGGTGTGATTTTGGTGGAAGGCGTGGATGGGATTTTGGTGAGAAGACGAAAATGAAAGAGGAAAGTGAAATCGGGAAATTATACCTGCTAGAAAACCGCTACTTGAAGTAGCGGTTTATTAAACAAAAACCGCTACTTGAAGTAGCGGTTTATTAGTAAAAACCGCTACTTCAGGTAGCGGTTTTGCTGTAGACCGGATTTATAATTTCTTCCCCCTGAACCGGTGACATGGACGGTAGAATGGGAATTCTTAAAACTTTGGCTGCAATTTGGGAATTGCGGTTCTTCTTGACCTTAATTTGGGAAAGAGCTCTTTTTCTTGTTGCCATGGTTTGGATTTTATATACTACTAGTCTACCACTAGTACTTGTACAATATTTAACATTAAAATTTATTTTCGAGATTGATTTATTGCTTTATTTTAACTCTTTTTTCTAATTAGCTTGTATTGTCAGAAAATTAATCAAATAAACTCTTGCCTGTTATATCTGTTATGTTGATATGATGGCTTAAGGCTTACTAAGAGAATGTTCTTTAACTAATAAGGTCGTACCTGAAATCAAGGATCGAATCCAGTCTATATTTTTATTTTATCTTAATCGCCTCACTCTTAAATACCTGGAATCGAATCTAGTCAACAATTTTGTTCTGTGTTAATCAACTCGTTCTTAAATATACTCCGTAAAAAAAAGTAGGTATATATATCAACTATTTGGATGCAATATGCACAAAAATGTACTCCACTTCCAATACTTCACAGTGTTTTAAACTCTTAGATAAATGTCAACTTAAAAGTTGATGACCAATTTCTTAGAAATGAATACTACTTAAAAGTGTAGGTTGTTAAAAATTACAGTACTTAGTTACGTAGAGATATCATACAAAATATACTTGTTGTATTAAGATTTAAGAGTGCATAGTGATCATTGTGCACCAAAAGAAAACAGTTTATTGTATAAAAGAACATGTTATATATTCTTTATTTATAATATAACTATATATATAGAAATAAGTGCACCTCATAGGCTCATATTCTTTTATTATATTGTCATGTCATTTTAGACAAGTATTAGTATTCTTAGGATGCACTCTCACTCTACTATACCATCTAACTTGCGCTTTTTTCTCCTTTTTTTTTTTTTTTTTGGCTTAAGTTAGACTTACATCTGCACACTCAATTTTTACTTTCTAATTATTCACTTCCCTCGATAATTTTCTCAAAAAAAATGTAACATATTTAAATAAAAAATAAAAACTAATGGGAGTGAATAATTAATAATACATGTGTTTGAACTTTGATGTATATTTTAATTTTTAAAATTTGATAGACTATTGAATTTTCATCCCCCTAAATAATATTTATTTCACATAAAAATATACTTGTACTGTAATATTTTTTGTTTCTGGTACAATTGTACAAATATCCAAATCATACTCGTATAAAATAAAACCAAATAAATAACCAAATCATGTTATCACACCCCCACTCAACTTTGGCCATACTAGTACTTTCCGTCTCATATACAAATCCTACTTTTTCCACTGGTTATTCAGTTATGCACTCCTCTGTGATGACATCGTATTCCTATAGTTTCCCCTTCTTTTCTGAAAGAGGCAACACCCCCTCCTTAAGTGCCAAAATACCTCCATGCCCTCATACTAAGCTTTGAACCCGATTCTCACCGGAGTTCCAACATCACTCCCATCACCAGTGCTAGTTGCTGCTGCTCTGCATCTAGTTCCAAGTTCGTGTTGTTAGCATACTTAACAGTTTCCCTAGTGATAAGGGAGACGGATCTCACCCATATATTAACGATTTTACATCTTAAAAAATGAAAGAAGATTATCTTTATAACAGAGTTGGTGTGAATCCTCACCATAAATTGGATAATACTGATCTCACAAAACATCAGTTGTGAAATAACCAACAAAAGAACCTAATAACATCTACATCAGTGCTAAATAAAGCAAATAAGTTTATCCGAACAAATTAAACGAGAAATATGGAATAGAAGCTATAAAGCAATGGGGCATCTTTGTTGCAAAAGTGACGTCTTATAAAAGATCATGTACATAGATTAAAGTTTATGGAACCATATAATTAAAGAAACCCTACATCATGATTAAGCAAAATAACTGCTATCAGTGTCAAAAAAAACACTACATATATGCTGTTAAAAACCTTTACTACAAAAATATGACAATCCATTATGAACTATAAATGTCGGAGCAACAAGACATTGTCTATAATTCTAGCATCATAACTTCAATGCGCATGTTTGGTCAACCCAAATTCTATGCCATTATGATTTTTTTGAGTTGAGAAGAGGATTCTCTAGAGAGCTGAACTTGAAGTTTCCGGAGAACATGGCTTCTTTATCTGCAAAGTGTAAACCATAAAAATTGTACGATAAGATCAACAGGTATGAAAGTTCATAGACTAAGAGTATCATAAGATCAACAGAGCTTAAGAAAGACATGATGATACTTAACATTGCTATATCCTATAGAACTTCCTAACTAAGGAAATTGTAGGCCGAAGTTTTGATAGAATGAAAAGGCATTTAAAACTGGAGCAAAACACCTATGAATAATCAAATAGAGAATGCAAGTTATATATAGTTCAGAAATCTTCCTTCTCCTATACTATAGGGAGTACACATAAGGCTGCTTGCTGCCTCATTATGCACAGTTTTTTTTTTTTGAATAGACATTATGCACAGTTGAGGGTAAAGCATTTATGTAAATTGTGGATGCATTTATGTAAATTGTGGATACAGTATCCATCACCATATTTATTTGTTGAAGAAACAGAAAAAGGTGCTTCAAGATGAATGTAAATAGGAACTCAGACTAATTGAAATAATACAAGTCACCTACCAGTCAAGGATAGACAACTAATTTCACGACGAACATACCGAGCCATTGCCTGCAAAGATTGGAAAATTCAAAAAAGAGTATAAGAATGAGCTATATACTGAGAAATATATACCACTAATTGTTACACTTTGAGTTGTGGATTCAAAGAAAGGCAAAATACTCCCATCTTATCGATAACATTTTACAAATTAATTTCATCATGCCTACCCTTCAATAAGGCTTCTTGATGATAACACTACTCAGAACATATATCTATTTGGGACAGAAGAAATAAGAATGGGAAATTAAATGAAAGAAAGAAAACCATAGTGCGACTATCTGAAATTTGTCATTAAAAAAAACTCATCCTGTTGTGATGGCAGGTATACATAACTTTCCAAACAAAGAAGGAAGCGTCCAGGTTCTGTCTCTATAGTTGGGCAGTTTTTTTTTTTTTTTTATTAAGACTTTAAGAGTATAAGATGAGGCCCATCCAACACAGATGATGCTGCAAGTCCAACCACACAATGTAGGTCATACTATACTGAAGTACATGGATGGTAATAAACAGAATACATCATGATTAGAGCCATATAAAAAGCTGCAGGTATGAATTCCATTCGAGTAACATAGAAAGATATGATAGGAATAACAATCAGAACCACAGAAGAAGAAGGATATAATTTAGATAATGAGTTTCATCTGAGTTCATAGTTTAAATTAATTGGGGACTAACAAATTAGAGTTCTAGACTAATATCCAAAAATGAAGTATGAGAATGCACCTGAACAGGACGTCTAGCAGCATCACTTGGTTCTGACTTACCATCATCGGAAAACACATTCCTGCAGCACAAAGAAGTTCAAGTATACATACAGAATCAGAGAGCTTTGTATTAATAACAAAGACTGCTTGGGAGCAGTTGGTCTAATTTTTCTCAAATTTTCAGAAGTTTATTTCACCAACAAATTGATACAGTGAATGGAATAGATATTTGCTTAAGTATGGGGCCTCGACACTTCAACATGGGTATGGATGCTTGACACATCATTTTGAACCAAAAGCATAGAAAATTTTATTAAATAGTTTAGCTGAAACTGGTGTTTGACAATACTTGGTTTGAGTAACATCAACAGCAACAAGGCACAACTTCTCAATCATGCCAAGATTTCAAAACCAACATTAGACATAAGAGAAGGAATGTGAATTTACATGGTATTAAAGCTTCTACATGAAAGAGATTAAATAAGAGTACTAGGTAGAGAGATCTGGAAAAAATAAGGATTAAAGGAAATCAAGAGAGCCAAACCCAAAGACTTGGTGAACGGAATCAAAGGTTTAAGCCCACTCATAAACAGCCACTTCCCAAAAGTCGCCTTTCATCTCCTCATACTCATCCCCTGGTCTTACAGCTATTAAATTTTTGTCCCTCATAACTTTCTAATTTATGTAGCTATTCCATATAGAGAAGAGATGAATAAGACCGCACGAAGTTCAACTAGTAGAATGCCTTTGAGTGAACAATGAGGAGGCAAGATAATGGTCAAAGAATCTATTATTTCAATCATTACATCTCATCTAGATTATGTAATTTTAAACTTCAAACACCCTTAGTAGTTAGTACTCTCATTAGCCTCGCCAATTTTCATCCTATCATAATAATCCTTTAATTTGAATTCCTAACCCATCCCTACATTAATACCGTTTCCTCATATTGATTACTAAGTCATAATCCTACTGATATATGTGATTTATATTTACTGAAAGGCACACCAACAGTCAAGCATAAGTAACTCAATAAGCTAATCCTTGTTTTCGGAAGTCAAAATGATACAATGTGATCAGTGTCACAACACACAAGACATTTGATTCCCAATGTTGAGCAGTTCCAGATCATCTTTTCTGATATGAAAGGACTTAGTGACAAATTTTAAGTCAAGTTTATTCATTCAGCTTAGGGCCCCAGTCATAGAAACTGCAAAAAAAGGAGACCACAACTCTATTGTAAGTGTGCCCCAAACTTAAGCCAATACCTCCATATGACATTCGAAAGATCATCTTTTCCAGCTTCTGGAAGTAAGGCAGCATCATATGCAACAAGGTTTCCATAGAATATCTTCTCCAAATCCTTCATCCACTTAGTCAATAGCAAGTTAACCTGACAATGCAGTAATATAAAGGTTAGAATTAAGCATCATCTAAACAGAAAGTAACCTATATCTAAATAACATGATGACATAACAAAGCAAAATAATAAACAAATACCAGGAGGGATGTTATAATCTTGTTTACATATTATTAATAGAGCCTTGTTTACTTATTAAAAGATGGAAAGAAAAATAAAGAGTGAGTAAAGCCTTGTTGGTAGAGGTAGAGTATCTTAAGGCTAAAGGCTGGTTGTACAAGGAAAAGAACCTCCAACACTAATCATAAGATGATAAGATAGCTTAATGCATCCTTCATTTTCTTTTGTTCTTCCTATAGAAAATGGAGGAGGAATCGGTGAAAACGTTAAAGAAGGATAAGATTCCCATTTCATAATAAAACGAAATTTTTTTTTTTAAAAAAAGAAAAGAAAAAGGTTCCATCAAAAAGGCTTCATGAGATACTTTTCCATCAATAAAAGGCTTCATTATGAGCAATTGTAAACAACCAGCCAAAGTCAACAATTGTAATGGTGGTGTGTAACAAACACCAATTCGGTATAATATAACCAACCCATGCATGCAGCAAAAACACAATGGTAAGTAATGAATGGGTAAATTTGGGTTTAATAACCCTAGGACCCCGACAACTTAGATGTCAAGTTCGTGATTGAAACTATCTCTTAGAGGGCGTTTGGTTCGCAGAGTGGAATGGGTTTGGAATTAGGAATGGAATTAAGGTGGTATCGGGTTAGAACTTGATACTTAATACCATGTGTTTGGTTCAATTCCGGAATAGAATCTCTCACTATTCTCTCCTTTTATTTGATACCTAAGGGAATGGAAATGGGCCAAACACACCTCCCCCCAAGGTTTCTAAACCCCATACCTCATGGGTTTGAGGTATGGGTTTAAAATTCATACTTTTGACAACCAAACATATGGTATGAGCTTTAGTCATTCTAAACCCATACCTCATACCTATATTCCGCGAACCAAATGCCCCCTTATAGCTCTTGACTATCAACACAACAACATAATTCCAAAATAGTTACATAATTGAACCAAACTCATTCTCAAGACTTTATAAAACCTATTGGTAGGCCATTTATGCTTCCCCGAGGGATGCCCCCCCCCCCACAATTACTTTAATTTTGAAAAAAAAAATCCCAAAATTGATTCGAAAGCGTGGATTATAGTCTTCAATTTTAGAAAAATTTTTACTTTTCATTGCCTGAAAATGAAAGAGGTCGAAAGTTTCCCACATACCCCATGAGACATTGGGATGTCATTTGGGTGTTTGGAACCATCTATTTTGCTTTTAAATTATCAATTTAGCCAATTACGTACACGTCACCCTTCATTAACCCAAAGCCACCAAGAGCCTTAATGTGACCGACTGGTGGGCATATTTGGTTTCAAACAACATTATATGACCCAAAATGCATCTCCTACCATAACTTGAGTTTTCAACACCAAGTCTAACATGGGCCAATTTCGTGATAGCCTTCAAATTTGACTTTTAGAGATTATTTATGGATCAAATAATGTTACACATTAAGGTGCTTCTGACGGTTCCCAAAAGGCCTTGGGAAGCCTACTTGGTGCTTGAAATCATCTAATTTATGCCTTAGCCCACCCATCGTTCTCATGTCTTAAGATACATTGTCTTATGTTGCCTGGCATTGACTTGGCCTTATGTTCCCTTGCATTGGCCCTAAGGCAAGCCAAGATGCTACCCTCAAGTACCAAAAATAAGTCTTGTTTAGAGATGAGGTGTTTTTATGCTTTGTCCTCATGCACATGCCTTGTGCACATGTGGACATGCCTCTTGAACATGACCCTTGCACATGATTTTCCTTGACTTGGCAACCCTTGTGCCCCGGTAAGCCTTGGTTTGGGCGGCGGTAGCAACACCTAGGCCTTGCCGTGGACGTGGACATGGGCATGACCTAGGGTAGCGGCAATTGCAACCCATTACCTTAGCCCTCCCTTAAACTTAGTACAAAGTATTTTTTTATTTTTTTTAGCACCAAAGGCACCCTCATGTAGCCAAATATAGGTGTTTTTGGGAATTGGGTCTAGGGAGGAATGAATCAAAGCGAATTATACTTCAAAATAATAGGAAGAGCCAATGTCGAAGATCAAAAGGCAACGTCACTATGAACGCTTGGTTCCCACAAGCCAGCTAGTTATCCCTATAATAACTTCTCTAGCACCTCTAGCTTAAATTCAACGTCTAATGGATCATTACGTTACACTTTCACGATTTGTATTCATATTGAAAATTAGAATCAAACATGGTTTTACCCTACATGAGATTAAATAGATATTCGCTGCAGCCAAACTCCCCCCAACCCAATAATGCCCTCTAACAATATCAACCCGCAAAGTGAACCTTAGGTCTAAAAGGAGGGGCATTGCCCCACTGCCGACTCACAAAGTAAAATAACATTAAAAGTAAAGGTATTTCACTTGCGCCGAAACTCCCACTTATACTACACCTCTCAAGTCATTTCACAAATTTAGTACATGCTAGGCTACCATCAACAACTATCATAGTATCATACACTACATATAAATATATTACCCCCTCCATTCCTTTTTATTCTTTATGTATTCCGTATAGGGTGTTCCCCTTCATTCTTAACGTTTGCTCTTATAAAGTACAAATATTCCATTTTCATCTCTACTTTTCCATAAAAAAATAAATCAATGTTTTTATATTTCTATTCATCCAATACTTCTGTTGCATCTCGAAGGGTCTAATTTAATCAAGTAAAAATAAAAGCAAAATCTATAATTTTTTAACAAAATATATATAACTACTATAATCATTCGTTAATACAATTGCATGATACCACATGTAAATAATAAAAAGGGATAGAGGGAGCCGTAATAGAATGAAATTATTAATATAAATGATTTAAGGAAATTTTAATAATCAGAAAACAAGGGACTGCATAAGGACTTTGATTATTTGGATTTAAATTTTCTTGCATCACATCTAAAATTGACTTATGAGATGTAATATGCACTAACCCCAGCCTTGGATACTCTCAATTCCAAGTCATGATTGTAAATTTCGTACACGTACTGACCAAATTCAACACCTTCTTGCCCTTCCTCTTTCAACCGTCGCAAACACATCCACATATGAAGCACCAATAGGGAAAACGTAGTTTTAAAAGTCTTCTCTATGTTAAAAACTGCAAGAAAGATTCACCCTTAGAGCTACACAATGATACAAACACGTGACCAAATAAACTCATAATCCTCTTAGAAAAGGTGTGCATGGTCACAGGCAGAATATTGCTCCTCCTAATATAGCTAGATTGCTGTTAATGAATCAAATAGGAGTGTATTGATTATAAAATTTTGTGTTTGCAATGCATACTAGCTGACTAGCAAGTTTACAACTAAAAGGAGTTTAAAAAAAAAAAAAAATAGTGCAACCATTTTACAAATGATCTATATGCTACCTTCATGCACAACAGTACCTAAGAAAAACTCTTGTTTCAGGACAGAGTAGCTCAATATATGTGGTGGCAGCGGATGTATCACATTTGCAGCGTTTGTGCATGTACTGTTAGTCTGTTACATGATTGATTGACCACGAACACAACAATAATGAGCCTTGAGTTTTCAAGTCATTACCTTTTTACTACTATGGATGACAAAACTCAATTAAAAACTTAAGAAAGTATCTTAACATACTCACAAAAACCAGATAAGTTTTACAGAGAACAATATCAAGTTATGCATAACAAGTCATTTGTATCTCTTACAATATAATGGTAAGAAAAAAGAGAGCAGTTTAAGCTCACCATTGTAAATAGCAGATTTATCAGCCTGTGTAATTATGCGTCTGTAAACCACATTTGCCCCTCGAATAGATTTGCTTTGTTTACTGTAAAAGAGCATCAATTTTAGGAAGAAGCGACGGATGCCCTGATAGTCTGGTTCTTCAATCCTCAAAGGTGAATCCTTGGCCAAAGCTAATGAACATGGCTTAGACCAAAACAACTTATCTAGCTTAACCTTAACCAACAGAAATTAAAGTCACTATCAGATTTGGACCAAAACAATTCCTGTTAGAAGCAGCAAAACTATACACACACATCCGAAAATCTAACAAAAACAAAAAAGTCTTTCCTTTCAACCAATGTACCCTCACAAAACGATTCGTGTTAGATAATCAAAAACTAACAGTCCAGATTATTAAAAAACGCGTTGAATACATTCGATTCCATCCTGTAGGCCATTAAATTTAAAATCAATCATAGACAATTAGCCATTGTTTGCACAGGTCCAGATTCTTAAACTAACAGTTCAGATTATTAAAGAACGCGTCGAATACATTCGATTCCATCCACCAAAAATCAAGCCAATGTAGGGGATTATTACTACTAAAATCAATGATAACCATTGTTGCACAATCAAGTCAGAGATTCATAATGACATACCAAATAGTTAAAGCAACAACAAAAGAAGAAGAATAAGAAAGTCATACAGTGGGAATGTTGGTGTTGTTGAAATCATTGGAATCAAGCGAAGAAGAAGAAGGCGGCATTGAAAAGGCAGCAACTTTGGCATAATTTTGAGTGTTTGAAAATCCTCCTAAAATCCTGCTTTGTGATCCAGCATTAGATATCTGAGAAATTGCTCTGCTCCATCGTGCCAACATTTTTATGACCTAAATCAATCAACGAAATCAAATTATAATTATCAATCAAAGAAATTTATCAATTGGGAAATTGGTAAATTAGGGATTTTTGAATTGTATATACCGGAAGAAAGTGCAGATTGACGAAGAGAGAGAAAATTGAAATATGGAGAGAAAGAGAGAATAGGAAAGCGTGGAGTAGAGAGTGGTGAAGTTGAAGGTGGAGGTGGACTCCTCTCAGCCGGAGAAGCTCGGAAGTCGGAATCAATACTCCGTGGTAATTACTAATTACTGATTTTTATTACCAATTTTTGCATTAATAGTTATAGGACTTTCATCATGTAATCAAAATCCAATTAATTAAAGGATTGTACCCAAAAAAAAATCCAATTAATTAAGGGATTGTACCCAAAAAAAATCCAATGAAAGGATAAAAAAACAAATATTCCGAGTCCAAAAAAAAAAAAAAAAAAAACACACAAAAAAAAAAATATAATATATATATATATATATATATTAAGTAAAATGATTAAAAACGAAAAAACTATCAACGTACAAGTGACTAAAGTGAGGGTTGTAATTTACTTATATGAGTAGGTTGTTTATCATAGGTAAAATTTTACTCATTTTTAGGGTTTACCCTAAAATCGCTAATGATACAGTGTAGCATGAATTGTGCAAGTTTAGGCTATTTATTTACATGTTTTTCATTTGATATACAACTAGTGTAGTGTTTATCAAGATGATAAACTTATATAGCCTCTATAATCTAACCCTAATAGTTATACACTTTAGTACAAAGTTAGAAGTACTATGATATGAATTATCTTATGATATGACCCAAATTTGACAAATTACAATTGGTAACTAGGCAAATATGTTATACACACGAAATTCTTTACAATTTGACTTGGTTTATATGGCTAAGATGTTTACTCATATCTGCTCTTTGTTTTCATTTTCACCTAGTAAAAAAAAGAAGGTAAATTAGGGATTTTTTGGTTTTATTTCATTCTTTGGCTATTTCTTTTTTTTTTATATAATTTATTTATTTAAATGATAAGGAGAACACCGACTAGACCTCAACTCTCACAGTTTTTTTTCGTCCAGTATTTGTGGGTCAGACACTTGGGAGTAGAGGGGACTTAGGGAGGATAAGGGAATTTCTACCCCCAAGTACTCTCACTTAGTAGGATTCAAACCCCATACCTTTAAGTTCTAAGGTAAGAGCCTTACCAAGTGAGCCAACACTTTATTGGTACTCTATCTTGGTGGTTGGAGAACCGTCTTATATGAAATTGTGCTTTATAAGACAACATATGAAATATCCTGCCAACAAAAAAAAAAAAAGACAACTTATAAAAATGTAATCTTAAAGTCTTTTCTTGTGCCACCTGTTTTCTTTTGCAACAAAAAATACGTGTCTTTTCAAGTTCCGAATAAAATTAGTATTCCATATTTCTTAATGATGTCTTAAACTATCTATCTCAAATTAACTCCCATCCTAATTAAGTGGGCTTTTAATATTGTTTTAACTCATTTCTCAACCACTTTATCTTTGGCCAAATCATCATCTCTTTTGCCATGGTTTGATCAATTACATCATTAATTAAAATCCTCTACACGATATTGTCTTGGTTTGAATTTAATAAGTGACAAACTTGTTGAATAAGAACTCACGACTAATATTGCATTTGCGCATAAGATTGAGGAATTCAATCTCACCCTTTGTTTAATTTCGTTTGGACAAACATTAGCTTGTTGTTTGGCCACACTCGACCTTTATTGATTTCATATCTAAAGTAATAATTTTGTTGTTCCATACTCTATAATTTTCGAGCCATCTCTTAAATTTTTGGTGATGATCCTGGATCAACATTCAACAAGTCAAATGTCTCTTCATAACAATTACTTCAAGATTAGATGAATCCATTTAAATTACTACCATTATGCCACATTAGGTAATTACTTCCGGGTCTTTTAAATTATTAATTAGTCCAGCCATATACTAAGGCCCTGTTTACTTTATCTTGCTGAACTTAAATGAAGTATGTTTTTACTGAATTGAAATTATTTTTGCTAAATTTTACTGAACTGAACTGGACTTATTTTTATTGAACTGAAATTATTTTTACTTAATATTATTTTTTTTAAGGTGGAGTGAACAGGGCCTAAAAGTACAAAGTTAATAACCGCATAATGTTGCTTGATACTTGAATAACTCAACTTGTTAAAAATAGATAAACATAACATTTTTTTTTAAAGAAGATAAACATAAACATAACATTTTATAGTACTGAATACTAATAAATTACTAATGATAATAATTATTTTAAACACAATATATTAAATTGATGCAAATTTACACATCATCTACCGTTAAAATCTATATTCAGTATTTAAAAACATAAACCATCATACCCATCATGCCACATGTAAACTTTATTTTTCACCAATGCCGCATGTCACTTCATTTAACCTTTTCTTAATTAAATCCCCTTTCTCATACTTCCTCTGTTCCACAAATATTGCAACAAATATTTATAATTATATAATTACGCATCCCAAAACACATTTTAGATGTTAAATATTTATAATTATATAAGATTAAACAAATTTACTCATCCCAAAAGTTGATATTGTGAAAGTATTTTACGAGACGAATCTAATTTAACAAGACCCCACATGACTATATTTTACTTTACGTGTAAATCATAATTTGTGGTCAAACTAAGCATGATGAATAGTGCAAAAGTCAAGTTGTTGCAATATTATTAGAACGGAGGAAGTATTAAAAAAGAAAACACTAGCTTTAATTCAATACATTGCATGGATGTTGTTTGGTTCACTTTCCCCCAACTTAATATCTTCTACAATTACATTTAATTTTCACCCATTCTTCTCCTTTAAAAACTATTCATTTTTCAATAAAACCATATTACAAAAACAAAATAAAAATAAAAATATTGTACGTCTATAAACAACCCGTGCATTGCATGGGTCAGAAGGCTAGTTTAAGTAAAAATTCAACACTATTCGATCCCATTGTATATCAAATTTAAATACTACTTTTGTTTCATATTATGTACAACAATTAGGTATTTTTTTGTTATCAATTGTTGCACATATTGCGAAACGAAGATAGTAAATACTTGAAACTTGTAATGTTAAAGGTCAAACTTAAAAAAAAAAAAAAGGAAAATAACATAAAGCATCCAACATATATCAAATTACAATGTTATTTTTTTTTTTAAAATAAAAAATTACTATTTTTACCTCTATTAAAGTCTTTAATGATTTAATCCATACAAAATATCAAAACTTAAATTTCGTCTAAATTATTGTCTTTATTACCGACTTATTGCCACAACACTACAAAAAGAATGCCTCTATTTTTTTTTATTTTTTTTCCGCCAATAAGTCGGTAACGAAGACAAATTTTATGGTGAGAATCATTAATCCATAATTATAAATTTTTTTTGAAGAAATTAATCCATAATTATATGATAAAGAGTAAAACACAAATTTCCAAAATTTAAACGTGTAAAAATAAATAATGAAAAGAAAAGGCTGGAAAAAAAATGGTAGGGAATAGACACGTAATGCTGTCGACAAGGCAGTAACCAGTTAGTTTCCCTTCCATCGAAGCTCTTCGTATTCTCACCAAAGAATTCCTTTCCTTCTCTTTCTCTCACCGCCTGTCCCCTCTTCTTTAATCTTTACTCTTAATTTTCCATTCTTTATTTATTCCTAATTAGTTCTTTTTTATTCTTTTAATTTTCTAACTACCCCTAAATAACTGGGAAAAATATCCCACCAAGATAAGATTTTTCCAATATTTTTACACTGATTAATGAATTCAAACACTTCTCAGATAAAAATTATTTGGTGGGTTTGAGTTCAACTTTGATTCTGTTTTTGGGATTTTTTTTTTTTTTTTTTTTCATTTGATTAATTTGATGGAAAACGGTATAGTTCTGGAAAACGGTGTTTGTCACAAGGATACTGGTAATGGAGGACAAGATATTTGGAATTGTGAAAATGGAGTCTCTTCATCTTCTTCTGCTGATCATCTCGTTGTTATGGTTCATGGCATTCTTGGCAGGTTTATATATATATATTTTTTTTTATTTTCATGCATTTATTTTTGTAATTTTGTAATTTGGGGTTTTGATCTGATCCTGTACATGATCATAACCTTGATTCTACTGGGTCAAACTTAGTTTCATGTTTGTATTGTTTAATTTCGGTTAATTGTTGGAAAACTCATGAAATTTTGGTTTGTTTTGATGAATTTTGAGTTGGTTATTAATTTATTATTGCATTTGTATATTTGTAACTAAAATTTTGGTTTTTTAATTGTTTGAAACTATATGCTTTCTGGAAAACTTCCTAGTTTGGATTTTTAATTTTTAAATGTTTTAAAAATCATGTTCTGTGATTCCATATTAGTTGGAGATAATTTTGTTTGTTTTCGTCGGTAGATTTAGTTTATGTAAACCTGTTTAAGCCCTTAATTGAACAAAATTGAAGTCATTTTCACAGTCCACTTTCTATTTATAAATTGGTAAATTGTGAAAATAGATGGGATTTATGATTGGATATGTTCATGACTGCAGTGCTGCTGATTGGAAGTTTGGAGCGGAGCAGTTTGTTAAAATGCTCCCAGATAAAGTATATGTTCATTGTAAGGATAATTTACCTTTATCCAACTTTGGTTTTTTGCTATATTGTAGAAGTAATCATATATAGCTATTTTCAGATTGCTAAGTAGACTTATAGCCTTTTCCTCTTTTGATCATCCTGCTCTCTGTGCTTGTTTCACGAGTTGTTGCTGCTTTGGTTACATATGAGGATAGGAAAAGATAGAATTGGAAATTAAAGAATGGTTTAACTCAAAGATGGGGGATTTTTTGAGTGATGAACTATGGTTAGGTTGTCCTGCAGAAATTTTCATCTGATTTATCATTCGTTTTTTCAGGCAGTGAAAAAAATGGGGCTACATTGACGCTAGATGGTGTTGACGTCATGGCCCAGAGATTGGCAGCAGAGGTTGGTTTGATATCAGCCTTACCTATATTGGCAAATCTTATTATAAAAGATATTGGCTGACTTTATGCCATTCTGTTTTCTGTTTGAATTATGTTTATGATTGAGCTTATCAATGCCAGGTGTTGGAGATCATTAAACAAATGCCCAATCTAAGGAAAATTTCAATTGTTGCACATTCTGTTGGTGGTTTGGTTGCAAGATATGCAATTGGTATTCTGTATCAACCTCCGAA